TGGACGTTGCTGCTGCTTGGATGGACGTCGCCGATGCCATGTGCCGAGCACGGGAGCCTTGCGGCCGAGGTGGCGCCGTCCCTGCCAAGGACAGGGCTGGGAATGGACGGGAGCTCCTCCGAATGTCCCCGTAGCCACGCTCTGCACCGGGGCCATCGCGCACTGTTAAAGACTCCGAGACCCCTGCACGGTTCTCAACGGTGTCTAATCGATGCCTTAAAATAGACGAGCAAGAGAAGCCCGACTAAAGGAGGAGGCCTGGAGGAGGCAAGGTATGGAGCTAAAGCAGGATGCCACGTCCCGAGCCCTCCGCTTCCGCAGCTGGCAGCTCCCGTCTCCTTCACACCGTTTGGGACGGGATGCCCGATCTCGCTCACATCCCACTGCTGCTCTCCGAGGTCGGTGCCTCCGCTCTCTGCACGTGGTCCTGGTCCACGGTTTGACTGGAAACAGGGCGGCCTCTTGGCTGCCTCCCTCTGCATCGCAGGTTCTGGGCTTAGGGAGAGGTCTTGGTTCTTAAAGAACAGTCCCACCTTGAGAAGGAGGGGGGTTCCTGGCATTATTTGCTTATTTTCCACATTTTATCTTATTTGAATGCAATTTTTAAAAAGTTTTATTGACTTAACAGCCATTTATTTTTTATGCTCTCATGGTATTCCCCTATCTCAGCTGCACTTAAGGCAGCAAATGGGTACAATTATTTTTTTTAATTGTCGATGAGACGGTGGTTGTGTTCTCAAAGGTATTCTCTATGGACGTGTGGGTGTATGTGCGTATGTGAGATACTAAACGTACAGTGAAAAGAGCATAGAAGGGACCATTTGCAATTAGCAACTTCCTGGCAATTAAGCCTCCACTTTAATTAACTAAAGGTTGAATAAATTAGAGCTGTAATCACAATTTCTAGACCCACCTGAGCCATGGAACCTTGTGGGTGGTGGCTTTGGATGTGTCTTTAATGCCTATGCTGCAGTGTGTGTGTGTGTGTGTGTGAGCCTTGAACCAAGAGATACTGTCAGGCGTTCTCCACATTATAGAGGAAGGAGTCCATACTGTTAAAATTTGCCATTTTCTAATTTATTCTTTTATCCTTTTTCCCCTCCCCGTTCCCATTTCCTACTTACAGGGCTTAGATTTCACTTGCAACAGTTTTTGGGCTAAATTTTAAAAAGTGGGTAGAGGTTTTTTTCCTCTTTCCTAGGGAGGAAGGAGGGAGGCAAAAGGAGAGTAGGAGGAGAGATAGGGATGCCCCAACTTAAGAGCATTTTTACTACGATCGGATGCCCCAACTTAAGAGCAATTTTTCTACAGTCTCTCTCCTGGACAGGTGCCCATCCTGCTCTATAAGCCCACGTGCAGTGCCTGAAGTTGGACACCTGAGAGACTTCCAGCTGCTTCTGCAAAACCCAGGCTGTTTTCCCCCTTCCTCTCCCCAAACACACAGCCTTGGCTTTCAGACTGTGGAGATTTCTATTTATTTATTTATCTGCTGGCTTTTAAAGCAGATTTATAATCTGCTTTGAGCCCCCCTCTCCCTTGCCAAGGCCTTGGCACCCTGGCAGCGTTGCAGCATTCCCATTCCTGCACGTTGCAGGGGACACCCCATGAATATCCAGGCTCTGCTTGTGCACGTTCCCTGCTTGGTTCGGAGCAGGACATCCCTGACATGTCCTCTTGGTTCTCCTGGCTGCGTGCTCGGATGCGTGAGAGATGTCCATCCTTTCCTGCCCAGGAATGTTCTTCAGGAATGTCCTTCAACGTTCTGCTGGATCCCCATCAACCAGTAAGTTCAAGGTGCCCCTGGCTCTCGGGTCCTCGTTGTGTCACCCTGAGCCATGGACCTGTGGGCAGGGAATGGTGCTGGTTGCCGGGACGTGGCCTGACGTTCCGAGACCTCCCTGTAAAACAAGGGGGTGGAATAAGGACAGCAGGGACCAGCCAGAGGCCAAAGGCAGCACCGTGCAATAAGGAGGGGACGATGCAGAGAACCCCTAGGGAGGTGACGGGAGCAGAGGACAAGAGCAATGCCACTAGTTGGGGAGGACATTGCTGCTGCTGCATCCCCTTGGTTGCAATTTTGGACAATTTTACAGCTGGCTCTGCCTCTTGAGGGAGCAGATCAGCAGCTTTGTGGTCCTGAGCAATATCCACCACCGAGCCTGTTGTGCAGCGGCCTGGGGAGGAGAGACCCTTTGGGGGCTCTGATGTTCTAACTATGCAGGTGCTCTCTGCTTTCCTGCGACGGGGAACAAAACAAAAAGGGAAGGAAAAGGAGAACTAGATTCCCCAGCAGCTTGTGGGGGTCCAGAGCACCCCAAACCACACTGTGTGGACACAAGGTGTCAGCATCTGCCCTGGGAGGCCATCCCGGGGCTGCACTTGCTTCTGGTGCTGCACACCCCTTGCCCGGGGGCGTGCGTCCGTGTGTGTCTGTGTGTGTGTGTAGTACCCCGTCCCAGCAGGGAGGAGAACTGTCAACCGTCTGTGGTTTCTCGGCCGGGTTGCACTCGTGGTGCCCTGCCCAGAATTCCACCCGTGCCCTTTTCCGTGCGTCCCCAGGCAGGTGGTGGCTCCGGGCTGCGCGTGGCCGTGTCCCTTCCCGGGAGCATCAAGTCCACGCGGGAGCCGCTGCCCGGCCCAGGGGGAGGTTCTCTTGGCCTTGCTGCTAGGCAGAGCCCGTCCTCTCCATGTCAAACTGTCGGCGTTTTGATTTCTCTGTAAGTTATTTATGTAAAACTCCGTTTCTCTGAATTTTTTGCACTACGTGGGGTTGGGGAGGGGATCCAAGCAATACAAGCCAACGTATACAATAAAGATGTTTTCTTGACTCCCACCCGCTGCCCTCCTTGTCCTTCCTTTCTCCTGCCTGTTCTTCCCATCGCTCTGCAGAGGTGAAGGAGCCTCCAAGCAGAGGACTTGCATGGCGGGTGCTGGGGGTCCCCCTTCCTCTCCCTGCTGTAAAACAGGGTGTTTTATACCCAGGGAGGCTACTGGGGACGGGACGAGGATGCTGGGGCAAGAAGAGGCCACGGGGATGAGACCGGCTTGGACCAGGGGCTCTAGGGGCCCCGCTTCAAATCCTGGTTGAGCACTTTGGGCTCCCCGGGTGTCCCGGCCTCCAGCGCTGCAGGCAGCCTCCCCCTGCGCTGGGAACGTGATCCAGATGAGAAGCAGCCTCCTGGGCCTCCAGCTGTCGTGGGCATCGTGCCCGCAGGCAGGAGCCGGTCCCGTGCGGAGAGCGGCCCTCGCCAGCGGCCAAGCCCCATTCCCCATCGTTTTACTGCAAAAATGGAACAACCGGTGCCCTTTGCTATCGTTTTTGGTGGCTCTTGGGCCGTTCCTTGCTCTTGGAGAGCTGCTTCGTGGGCCTGCACAGGCAGAGCAGAGCTTGGGGACTGCTCCAGCTCTCAAAACGGGGCTGTTGTGGATAGGGCTTCTCTCCCAAGGGGAATGTCCTGCTGCTTGGCTCAGCTCTGGCTGGTTAATGAACTTAAGGAAACACTTCTTGACCGTGAGGGTGCCAGAGCCCTGGCACAGGCTGCCCAGGGAGGCTGTGGAGTCTCCTTCTCTGGAGATCTTCACAACCCACTTGGACGCAGCCTCTGCCACGTGCTCTGGGTGACCCTGCGTGAGCAGGGGGCTGGACTGGATGATCTCTGAGGTCCCTTCCAACCTTAAGCACTCTGTGATTCGATGATCCTATGAATCATGCAAGACAGGAAGGAGATGGGGATGCAGAGGCTGTTTGCAGAGGCTGAGCACGTGGAGGCCTTTGACAGGTTTTATGGCACGTCTATTATCAGCCACCCTTTCCAGGTAGCGTTGCCTGTTCCGACAACTAGCTCCTTGGGGCTGTGCTGATATTTTTACTGCCATCTTCATCCTTGCACTGTGATTTTTTTTACCACACGCCACAGTTTTGTTGCCGCTCCTGTTGTTACTTCAGCTCCAAGACGCGGCGAATACGGAGTTTAAGGCCAGGAGGAACCAACGGGACCAAGTCCAATATGTCCATAAGGCTTCACATAACGAACTCCTGTTTGGTTCCAACCTGCTTTCCTGCTGTTACAAGTGCCCTGCAGAGGAAGCCTTCGCAGTCCCCAGGGGCAGCTGCTTTTGGGTTCCCTGCACAGTCACCCTGCAAGAGATTTGTGTGTCTTGCTGTGGAAGATACTGTATAGCTCTCATTTTGCTTTTCTAAAACACTTTTTTTGAGAAAGCACCTTTATCTTTGGTGGTCCCTCGCTGCTTTTGTGCGTTGCTTTCTTTATCAAATATCCACAATTATTTGTGGATATTTATTTTTTATTATTTTATTATTTTATTATTTTATTATTTTATTATTTATTATTTGTTATTTGTTATTTATTATTTGTTATTATCTATTATCTGTTATTTATTATCTGTTATTTACTATATATTATTTATTATCTATATCTATTATTATCTATTTTTATTTATATTTTATTTTATTTTATTTTATTTTATTTTATTTTATTTTATTTTATTTTATTTTATTTTATTTTATTTTATTTTTAATTTAATTTTATTTTATATATTTACTATTTATTTATTTGTTACATTTTAGATGGTTTGTTCCCATTCCCCTCTGACAATTTGGGCTAGCTCTTTTGCTAAAATACGTGATCAAAGCTGTAGCCTTTTAAACAACTCAGTAACCCCATAGCTATGGAAATGATTTTCTGGTGTTATTTATTTTTTTTTTCCAACTGAGCTGAATGGTAATTGTTGGGGGAAAAAAAAAAGAAAAAGAAAAGAAGCTCCAAATGTGGTTATTTTGTGGTTTTCCTGCTCGCGGGGAGCACGGGCTGTACCGATGCTGCGGTCCCGTCGCAGCGCCGGGCGCTCCTGGCGCGGGGCGGAGGCAGCGGCCGGGGAAGCCGGCGGAAAGCCGGGCTCTTCCCAGTCCAGAGCCAGAGTCACGGGAGGCGGGAACGGGAGTGTCCGCGCGAGGCGCGCGCTGCTCCGGAGCCGCCGCAATGGGCAACGTGGCCTGCGTCCCGCCAGCCCCCGGGAGGCTCCGCGGCTCCTTCGCCAGGAAAGCTTCCCTCAGGAAAGAGTGAGTGAAAAACCGGAGCGCGTTTGCGGGTCGCGTGCGGGAGCCCCACTCGGGAGTCCTGGGAATCTCGGCTTGGATTTGCTCGTGTTCCGCAGGATTGGGCAGCCCAAATCCGCTGTTGCCGGTGTCGGGAGGAATCCTGCAGCCGGTGAGGGTCCCTGTGCCGCTGCCCCGGGGGAAAATGCAGGTTTTCATTCAGTTTGTTGAGTTCATTTTGAAAGCGAAAACCTCTCTCCGTGAGACTGGCAGGACAAGGTGCAGGATTCCTGGAATTGTCTGTTTTCATTGGTGGTTTTTAAAATTTTATTCACGTCTCCCGGAGTTGTGGCACCGGCGGGGCACAAAAACAAAGTCCCCGTGACTGCAGCAAACGACACTCACATTCCATGTGTTTTAGGAAGAAAGCCCCAAATCCCTTTATAATCCTCTCTCTGTTGTGGGCTGATGGGTGGAAGGAAAGAGATGGGAAACCACAAAGAGGAATAAACCCAATTTTGGGGTGCGTGTGGAGGGAAACTGCAGCCGAGAGCCCCAAATCCCTCTGTTTCCCAATGGCTTTGCAGTGGCCAGTGGGACCGGACTTTCCCTGGAGACATCCGTGCCCTAGGCTGAACTGGAGGTGCAGATGAGCCCAGCTTATTCTTTGGATATGTAAAGACGTGTTAAGAAAAAAAAAGCCAAGGGAAAATCAGCGCAGCACGAAACCCATTGCTGTTTCCCCCAGCTGTTAATCAGCCCTTTGCTGATGATTAGCAAGCCGGTGACGAGGTACTTAGTGTAGCTTCCCAGCTTCCTTATTCTGGGCAGAGTTTCCCAGGCAAAGTCTCTGAACTGAAAAATCCAGGGGTTTTCTGTTTGTTTTTGCCTTTTTTCCCTTCTCTCTGTAGGAAAGATGGCAAGAAAAAGCTGCCCAGTTTCTTTGGCACTGAAGGAGGGCGGGAGAGAGACACGACCACAGACAAAATTCTGCAGTATATTCCAGCAAAGGCAAGTACAAACCCATCCCCTCCGGGCCATTCCCAGGGATTATTCCCCCCCCCATACACACCTCCCTAAGCCAGGGATGAGGAAAACGGGGCTGGATGGGGAGCTGGAGGTGACGTCCGCTCAGGGATTCCCAGGGGTGGTGGGAATATCTCACGCTCCCCGCGCCGCTCCGGGTTCTTTTTGTTCCTGGGCAGCTGAGAAAGGAAGGGAGAATCGCAGGGAGCCTTCAAAGGTGGGTGATTCATTCCCACGCTGGGATGAGCCGGAGCCGGCGGCGCAGGAGCGAGGAGCGCTGGGAAGGGGAGCAGGAAGGGCAGGTCTGCGCCGGGCACGGAGCAGCCTGGGGCCTTTTGGCCCGTTGCCCAGCACTGCCGGGGAGACCCAGGGGAGATGGGGATGGCACCTTTGGGTGGGCACGAAGGCACCTTGGAGCCCGTGGCACCATCCTGCGCGTGTGTTTTATAGCACAAGAGCTACGTGGGCAAGGAGAAGGGGAAACTGAGGCAGCACATGGGGTTCAAACACGCGTTTTGCTACAGGTTCCCCTGTGGCAATCCCTGATTTAGTCCTTTTTCGCCCGTTTCTCCCTTGAAATCAGGCACACAAGGTGCCTTTGCTCCCACAAAGGGCCCGTTTCCCACCCCCGCCTTCCAAAAAGCCCCTGCGAAAGAGGAGGCGGAAGGATGTGCCAAAGGGCAGGACATCTCCCTTGCTGCTTTTATCGAGAAAAAGCAGGTTTTGGAGCCCCGGGGCACCAAGCTGAGCCCTTCCCGCTGCCCGCGCTGGTGATTCAGCCGGAGTCAGCGGGGCCTGGGACTGGGGCAGCCTAATTATTAACTCGCCTTACCTGGAGGATGAGGCATCGCGGAGGGAGGAAGAACGTGTCGGGACACTTGCACTGCAAGGAAGCAGGGCTCCCGAGCGCCCCGAGCCCAACGGGATGGCGGAGCCGGTGGGAACAGGATGGGCTTGGGGTGGGAAGAGCGTTTGCTGCCCGTGCAGCCCAGCCAGGAATGATAACATCTGGATAAGGAGGATTCTGGAGGCATGATGGAAGTTAGGAAGTGAGGGCCAATCCTGAGAGCTGCCATGGATGTTCCCAGTGCAGATGTTCCTGCTAATATTTGGGAGCAACCTGGGAGGGATGGGGCAGGAAGAAGCCCTCCACAAGCCATGGAAGCTCTTGGTCTGTCCCGGGATCAGAGGCTCACGCAGCTGTCCCTTTGGCACATGGAGGCCGGGTGCCTCGCTGGGATGTCACTCGATCCCTGCTAAACCCTGGCAGCCCTTTCTTGGAAAAGCCCTGGGACCTTTCCTGGAAATGCTGTTTTCCACAGAAGCGTTTGACCCTTGCGGAACCGCGTGCGACACCCCTCTGCATTCCCTAGAAATATCCTCCATGCAGCAACAGCTTCAATGGGAACCCTCGTTCAGGGGGACCCCCTAAATAAACATTTGGGTTTGCATCTTTTTTCCTACCCTAGAAATTCTCCCTTATTTCAGGATTTCCTCTGCCCAATAGGGAAAAATTCCCGGGCAATTCCCAGCAATGTCCGACCTCAGTGCCGTGACGGTGCGAGACCTGGGAATGAACAGCCCAGGCTGTTCCCTTTGGAAGAGAGGGACGTTCAGGGACCATCTCTTCCAGTCACGTGAGTTCCACCTCTGACCACCTCTGATTTCCTTTCCATGCTTTTGGCACAGAATATTCCGAACCAGGAAAACCAGAAAGAAAACTTGGACCAAAGGTTCCCCAGCCTGTTCAAGAAGGGGCGCAGGAAAACAGTCGTCAGGAACCTGGGGAAAATCATCCACTACTCCAAGGTCAAGTTTAAATTCCAGCACTGCCAGGTAAGCTGTGGAAGCTGTTTGGGGGTGTCCCTCTTCCCAAACTTGGGGTCACCCCTGTGTCCCTGCTGTGCACAGGAATTGCCCGGTGCTCCTGTCGCGGGGGGAACGGGGCCACGTTTCCATGCTCAGCAGTGGCAGATCCAGCAGCAGGAACGTTGTATTGGCCCCAGGATGTCATTTTCTGTGCTCAGAGCGGTCTAAGATATCGAAGTGGAGGAAGGGAAGATGTGCTGAGGTCTCCAAGGTATCTCCAAGATGTTTGTCCTTTCCGCAGGAGGTGAACGACTGCTACCTGGAGCTGTTTCAGTCTTACCTGTACTTTCAATCCATGGGCTCCAATGGGCTCACCTACCAGGTAGGACATCCCCTAGGGCATGCAGGGGAAAGAACACTGGGGAGTCCCACAGAAGGGCCAAAAAGGGAGTGCCAGGAGGGCAGGACAGGGCTGGATAAGACAAGGAAGCTCCACTGCTGGGGCTGCCCCTGGACAAGGTCCCGTATCTCCGGTCTCTTCCCAAGGATGCTCGAGGTGGAAGGGACCAGAAAGGACCATTTCTCCTAAGATTCATTCCCAGACACCGTCAGTGTCACCCTGCTCTTTGATGAACAGGGCAGATGATCACAGTGGTGCCAGCCCCACCGAAACCAGGGAGCTGCTGAGTGTTCCCTGGACAGCAGCCTGGATCCGAGTCCCGCGTGTTTCCACTCGGAGCAATGTTGGCACCGTGAGCCGCAGCAGAGCTTTCGGTCCCCAGGGCACAGGGACATTTAGGTGCGTTTTGGGGCCCTAAAATAACCAGGCGGGTTCTGCTTGTGCAGGGACTGCTGCCTTTACGGGAGCTGAACGTGTGTGAAATTGCGAATGTGAAGGGCCTGGAGGAGCACGCGTTCCGGATTACAGGTTAGTGCCTCCTCGTTTGCTCTCATCAGAGCAGAATGTTTATTAATCACAACTGTCTTTGCTCTTCAACCCCCTCCTTGCAACCCTGGTCCTTCTGCCCCGTCGTTTGCTCCAAGTGCAGCACGTTTGGACGAAGGGAAGGAATAAAACTCCTGAACTGCAGCAGTACCAAGTCCCAAGGGAAGTAATTAAAGCACCAAATAGACAGAAGCAACTAATAAGCCAGTAAAGATACAGAGCTGAGAAAGCCCTTTAAGGTTGGGGGTTGCTTTATCTCCATTGCAAGGACAGGGAAACAACAGCATGGAAAAAGGAGACTGCTTCAGACCCACATGGTAGATGGGGTTAAGCCTTACTGGGCACACGAGTGTCTTGTAATACTGTATTGCTTCACAGACAGAGGTGTTTAAAAGTCTTAATTAACTGGTATTCATAAGCAATGCTGGAATTATGAGATGAAAGGGCTTGCTACAGGGCAAAGTATCATGTTTATTTGCTATCTGAACAGTTCCCAGTCCTGTAACAGCCAAGATTTTATGGAGCATGCGCCAAGTATGGTTTTAATATGACATCAGTGGTAAATTACTAGTTGAAAGAGGCATTCTGCACCTTGCCAGAAACAATTAGCGTCACTTGGATGTGTGTATAATGAGTAGCAGAGGGTGTGTGAGTCTTCTCTGCTAGTGCTAAATTAATGATAACTGGCGATATTAAAATCAACAAGATATGGCCTTGGTCCTCCTGTCAAGGCTGTGTAGGGGAGTGGCCTTAATTTGTCAGATACGGTTTATGTTTGAAGCAAGACATAAATAACGTCATAGCAGGACTGGGTCCTCTGTATTTACTACCGAAGTGAAACTGAAAATGCCGTGAGACTTTCGCATTGAGCCATGAGACTTGCATCGAGCTGTGCACAGCAGCACGTTGTGGCATCCTCTGGTCTGCAAAGTGTTTTCACAAACTCTTGTGGATTTTTAAAGCTGAAATTGTGCTGATTTCAGGCTTGATTTTCATACTACCTTTGATTTTTGTTCTTGGCCTGGTTTTAGACTGGGAAGCAACTGGTGCTCGGAGCTAGGTTGGAATGTGTGAGCAGAAGGTGAGACGTTATTGCAGGAACCCTTTCCAGAGATGATCCCAGCAGCCTGATGGGAGGCAATAGGATCAACCCAGTGGCAGGAAGGACTCTGATTTGGGTCAGCGGAGCAATGCGCTTGCAAGCCAGGCTGTGATGAGCTGCACTGACCAAAGCTGTCCAAGCTGCTCACCCTTTGATGCTCCTATCTGCTCAGCTCGTCTTGTGTCTCACACGCCCAGGTCCCCTCCTGAATCCCCTTATCGTGTTCTGCCCTACTGAGGCAGAGCTGAAGCAGTGGCTCTATCACCTGGAGAAGCAGATCCAGCTCAACGGAGGAAGCCTTGGCTTGCCCTTGCTCTCCCAGGTAAATGTCTTGCTTGGGACAGGGAATGTGTGCAGCTCTTTCCCACCCTGGGAATCGGAGTGGAATAACAGCCTTGGAAATTGGGCTACTTGGACGGATGCTGCTCTGCTCCCAGTGCAAACAGTGGCTGCTTGTGCGAATATCAGGAGTTTGCAAAGCATTTGGAAGGAGGAAAGTGGGACTGGAGTCTATAAAATATAAATATGTATAAAATCAGGCTCAAAAGACCTGCTTTCTTCTCCATCCTCTCCTGGATATTTCACCTTGCTCCCTGTCTCCATCTCCCCACCTGTTAAACAGGGGTATCCACCTGAGAGTGCACAGATGGTGCTAAGCACCAAGTATTATTCAGGCCCAGCTGGAAAACTGGCTTCTCTAGCAATTGATTCACTCTCTGCTGCTTCCTCCACACTTGTCAGCTCTGCTGGGATGGTGAAACTGAAATATTGTTTCTGGAGACGTGTCCCACAGCTGCTTCCTGACCGTGCTCCTCTCCGCAGAGCGCCTGGCAGGGAAGCTCCCTGGGCAAGGAGGAGCTGCGCTGGTCTGTGCAGCACATGCCCGTGGAGGAGTGGAGAGGGACCCAGCGGGAATCCCTGGGCGACGTCCTCTGTGTTTCCAAAGTGAAGCTCCAGCATCTGCCTTTCCAGGTAGGACGCTCGTTTCTGGGAGCGAGCTGCTGGCTCGGAAAGGGCCATGGATGGAGTGCCCGGCTCATGGGTTCCCTCTTTCCCTTTCCTTCCCAAGGAGCAGCATGACCGGCTCTTGGTGCTCTACCCCTCCACGCTGGTGATAGTGTCTGAAGAGCACAACAGCCTCTATTTCAAGGTAAGCGTTTCCGAGCCTTTTTGGGGTCAAAACCAGGCAGTTTCTGCAGCGCTGGGGCTGCTGCTCCCGCGCCGGGTTCCCCGGAGCTCTCCCTTGCCAGCTGGCAGGTGAGCGGGCACAGGGCTGTTGCAAACCCTCTTCCCATGGGAAACACCTTTCCCCCCTGCAGAAGCCCTGGGGGAAGGCGCTGGCTCGGCGCGCCGGGAGCTGCCGCGTTGCAGCGCAGCGCTGCTGGCAGCCGGCCGGGATCCAGAATAGCAGCGAGCCCTCCCGGGGACCTGACTTCCCAAACCTGTATTATCTGCCCTGGTTTCCCTTCCTTTTTTTTTTTTGCACGGATATACCCCAAAGAGCCGCCCAAGCTGCGGGTGCGGCATCGCCAGCGCCCTATAAGGGGCCGTGGGCTGGGCTGCCGGATTAACTCCCTTCTTGGGAAATTTTGCAGGAGCTTTATGGGCCCCGCTGCCTTCCCACGCTGCGGAGCGCTGCTCCCTGCGCTAGGTGTGTTGGTGGCCGCGGCTCGGGCGGGACGTGACTCACCCGCCCGTGCCACCGTGCTGGGAACAGGATTTTCCAGCAGCGTGTCGGGACACGGGGACCTTCTCGCAGGGCTTCTGCGAACGCACTTCCCTGCCCTGCGAGCAGCCCTACGGCTCCTTTGGGAGGGAAAAGCCCGGCCCTTCTCTTCTGCTTGGGTTTCGTGCAAGCCCAGAAACTCCGTCTTTCATGCAAACATGGGAACTCCACGGGAATTCCCACTGCCAAGGCTGCAGGTGGGACAGGGAAAGGAAGGCGAGGACTGAGGCAGAGCAGCAGGCTCTGGCTCAGCCTTTCCCCATGGGAAAAGGCCCCGGGCAAAGTGCGGATCTGAGCAGGGGGAGCTGCTGGCTGCACGAGCCAAACCGCACGGATACCAGGACAAGCGGTAGGGGCTGTATCCATAGGGATGATAGGGTCTGTAGGGGCTGTATCCATAGGGATGAGCACTTGGATATTGCTGCCACCCCATCCTCGGCACCGGCTGCAGCTGAAGCATCCAAGTCCGCTTTGGGGAAACTGAGTCACGGAGCATTGCGTTTGCTTTCCCTCCCACCATCAGCGTTGCCAGGCAGCTCTGCCCATAAATCCCTTTCCCGTGCAGGGGAAAATCCCAGTGCCAGAGTGTGTTTGGTGGCTCCTGCAGGTCACAGGCACCCGCTGAGCTCATTTCCCATGGGATGGGGCTGTCACCTTGGCCATGGTCCCCAGAACCTGTGCAAACGGGTCACTTTCAGCGAGGATGTGACAAGGGGCTTCTCCCAGACTCTTTCTTGCACCTCCCCTCAGCTTAGGCAAGTGAATCCTGCCCAGTTGCACCTTGCGCAAGGATCCTGGAGCTGCTCTCCCAGGACTGATCCTGTGTCGTTTGTGCAATTGAAATTCAGTCTGATGAGCCCTGAAGAAAGAGGAGACCTAGATCCTGGCTCAATTGACAACCCCTGTGCCCTCGTGCCAGGCTGTCCATCACAGGGAATTAAACTGTCATCGGTGACAGACAAAACGCATCTGGTGGCACATGGCAAAGCAGGATCTGGTGCTGGGCTGAGGATGGGGATGCAGGAGAGCTCTGGATGCTGCTGGTTTGTCCCATGGAGCTGAGGGCAAACCTGCCACCAAGGGAAATTCGCCCTGGGACTTGGCATAGGGAGCAGCTCTGCTTTTAAGAGCTGCTGCCTGATACCAAGTGCTTGGCCATCCCTGCCCTAATTAAAACACCCTCTCCAAAGGTGGCTCTGTGGTGGTATTTGGGATGTGCATGCAAAGTTTGCCCCAACTGCAGTTGTTCCAGGGCCGGGGACAGGTTTAGCCTCTCCCTGAGCTCCAGGCTCATCTGAACACATGTACAGTGCTCATCCAGGGCAAATCCTGCCCTAACTGTGGGAGCGACGTTCCCAACTGCTGTGCAGCACAAGGGCTCCTATTACAGCCGTTGGCATTTGCAGGGCTCAGCCCTACAAAGTCTGAGACTTTGCAGGACATGGGCAGTGAGGATTCCTCTTTGTGAGGCTGGAAAACCCAATCCAGGAAATAAAGTCTTGTTTAGAACCGGGTTTGCAAACATTTCTGCAGAGATCAGCTGTTGAGTTACAGCAAACTGTTGCCCTCCATCCTCTGCATGCCCATGCAAGCGGTGCATGCAAGAAACCCAGCACACAGAGAGAGCCGAGACCTCCTGCAAAAGGATATGGGAGCCCCTGGATCTGCTGTCCTAATCCTGCCTCTCTCTCCCAACAGGGCGAGCTCCCACTGAGCGCTGTCCAGGTGCATTTCGATGAGAACGAGAAAAGCTCCTTTTTAATAGAAGGTGCGTGTCTGACATAGCAAGGGATGTGCTGGCAGCAGCCACAAACATCCCCTGGGCCTGGGGTGGTTCACTCAGGTGCTGGGGGCATTTTTCTGTCATCAAAAACGTCAAATTTTGTGAAACAAGCTCCTTAGAAACTTCCTGAGTCTGGATGCAGGAGAGAAAAAGGAGGGATGGATGGAGAGGGGGATTTGCAAGAGCCCCGTCCACTCTTTGGACTGATGGGGAGAGGAAGGAGGGATGGAGGGAGGGTCTTCATGAGGATTTTTTGAGTGAAACTTGGACTGTTGTGAAATCCAGCTCTGAGGGTTGTCATTTTACAGGGCGCCTCATCAATTCCATCCGGGTGACCTGCCCCAGCTATGACGACTACCAGGAGTGGCTCTACTGCCTCAAAACCGCCCAGTTCCGAAACGCCGACTCCTCCCTCTCGGAATCCGAGAGCTTCTCCGGATCCAGGCCGCTCCACGTGGCCCCGGTAACGACGGCTGTGGGTTCATAGGGAAGTCAGTCCGTGTCCGCAGGGCCTCATCTCGGCTTGGGGAGGCTCTTTGTGGGAGGACATCCACGGGGAGCGCCCAGCCGAGCGCTGCTTTGCGAGCGGCTCTTTTCTCCCCCTGTATCCAGTTTGCAGGCAGCGGGAGAGGGTCCCTCACTTCCGACGGCCGCACAAACTCCTGGACGTCGAGGGGGAAAGCGGCCACCTTGGCGCACGTCTCCCACGCCGGCGGCTCCCTCCGCGCCGGCCCGTCCTGCGCCCTCGTGCCGGAGAGCAGGGCGCTCCCGGAGCCGCTGAGCCCCGGCTATTCCCAGCCTCTCCATGTGAGTGACCCCCTCCAAAGCCTGGGATGTATTTGGGAACGGATCCCACTTTGGAGCAGGGCAAGCTAGCCGAGTGCTCCACATGGGGCTTGTTCCTGGAGCGGGTATTTACCCAGGCTCGGCACTGTGGCCAAGGGAAAGGTCTGCCCGGGAATCCCTTTCTGTCCCCCTGCCTGGTTGGAGGGTTGTTGGTACCGATTGCAGACGGACAAACGGGGCTGCTCGGAGGGCAGCAGATCCTGAAGCAAATCCCGCGGGTGGGCGACGGGCTCGGCCGGTCTCACTCCCTTTGGGTGCCACCTCATTCCAGAGGGAAGGATTAAATACATGAGTGTGGAGTGACACCTGCAGCTGCCCTGGAGAGGAGGGACATCGCGTGGCCACGCACAGGCCCAGTCTGGCCCCAGCACAGCAACCACACCATCTTATTTTCTTTTTCCAGTGCCTGGCACCTGCCAAGGGGCCAAGCACAGGGCGGTGTCCACGGGAAAGCAAAGGGAGGCAGCAGCAGGAAGCCCAAATCCGGCCGTGGACAGGAGCAGGGGCAGCCTCCTTCCCCCCAGCCCCGTCGCTTATGCATGAAAAGCAATCGGGACTTAAACTGCACGGCCTTTCCCGCCGGGTGCACGGGGAGGGAAACGTCATGTCCCGCTTGTCCCTTGCAGCCGGGCGGATGGAGCGCGGCGGGAAGGGAGCGCCCGGCAGCCTGCAGCTCCCTGGAGAGGGCAGCCGTGCCCGGCTCCCCGCTCTACGCGGACCCCTACGCGCCCCGCGCCGCCTGCCACGTGCCCGGCTCCCGCCTTCTGCCAGAGGTAGAAATTGGCTCTGCAACCATTCTTTTCCCTGCTCTGTCTCAGCCAAAGATGTGGAAACAAGCGCTGCGTTTTGGGGTGGTTGGAGGGTCTTTTTAATGCTTTGCTGGCTGGTTTTCATCCATCGTGCCCTGAGCTGGCATTAGGTCCCATCCTACCGGCTGCTTTGGGAGGAACCTGCATCCGTTTGTTCTTTCCCATTTAAGGCTTTCTGGACTGGTATTGAGAAGAGTTTGCACTGCAGGCGTAAAACCTCATTTTGCCTACCGTGGAGGGAATAATCTGTCCATAGCAGGGCTGGAGTAGGAGTGGGGATCAGCTAGCGAATGTTCCCCAGCAATTCCTACCACATCTGGAGTTTATTTTCTTTAAGTTCGTGCAGTGTCGTGGACAGGCGGGTCCAGGCAGCCCAGGGTCTTGTCACCTTCCTCTCCAGAAGAACTCGCAGCCTCTGCCAAGCAGCCACTGGAGAGAGGTGCCTGTGGCTCAGAGATACAGCACCCCTGGCACCTCCTGCGCTCTCCGTGTGGGACCTTCTGATGGGGCTCCTTATTTTGCAAATGTGAGTGTGCAGATGTGAGTTTGCAGACGCTATTGCAGTGCTGTGGGCTGCAGGGAAACACCAGCAGCCCTGGAGCAAGGAACGTCCCTGTGCAATGACCGGGGCCAGGTCTCTGCAAGGCTCTGCACCCTTCGCTCTGCAATGGGGCCCTCTTGGCGTGCGGGAACCAACGTGGGGCCGATTTCCCTGCTGGGCAGCATCCCAGGACTGCAGCACGGAGTCATCCCACGCCTGTGCTCTTCCTTTCAGGTCTCTTGTGTGCAAGAGGAGTATCGGGGCGCCTCGCCGCAGCCCCCAGGTGAGACCGCGGGGAGGAGCTGCCCGCTTTCTGCAGGGATGCCCGCGCTGCCTCTCTCTGCTGGCATTGCCAGGGTGGGGTTTGAGCTCTCAGCGGGGTTTGGTGTGTTTTTTCCCAGGGGGGAGCCCTTACGACCTGCCAGACGCCGGCTACGCGTACGGCGACTCGGCCGCTTACCACGACTACGCCGAGCTCCAGAGCTTCCAGAGCGACCTCAGCTACGACAACCTGTGGGATGCGGAGGGCAGGGAGCCGGCAGCACCCCACGTCCCGCCCGCCCCGAGCCAGCCCTTCTACCAGGCCTGAGCACCGACCGCGCCGCCGGACGCACCGACACCCCCGGGCTCCTCGTGCTGGGCTTTCCCGGGCCTACGAAGCAGAGGGAAGGCTGGATCCCACGTCCTCTCAGGGCCAATGTGCGGACTTCTCCGCTGAATGTGAAGATGAGCGCAAAGCAGAAACGTGGCAGCCTCATGGAGAGCCCAAGGAGCCACGTTTCTGCAGCACTAGGGAGCCCGTGTTGTGCCTGCCCCTTGCCAAGGAACAACACGAGCTGGGGCAGCCAAAGGAAGGACAGTGTCCTGCTCCAGGTAACAGGAATGGGGTGTCCGGACAGGCCAGCGACTAAGAGCAAAGGAAAGAGCTCTTTGGTGGCTGCGTTAGTTTCACCACTTTTGCCTTTTCACCATTTGCGTTTTCACCATTTGCCTGGTGATTTCAAGGAGCCCTTGATCCCTGAGGAGATGTATGAGATATAGAGCGTCTCAGTTGGATGGCAATTGAGATGTGCAATCTCAATCGCAAGTTGAGATTGCCACCAATTGCCACCATATTGCAACTGGTGGCAATAGGTATGCTCGTGGGGTTATCTTCCTGCAAGGTGAGAGTTATGTGACAGGGATGGAGAAAGAAGCCCAGATCTGGGCAGAACACGATGCTCTTTCCCCTTTATGCCAAGGAAATACTTCCTTCTAGTGCTGGCTCCAAACCATGGTGGTGACCTGCAATATTAGCACCTGATGCCTTGACAGCTGACATCAAGAAAATGCTGCCATGAAATACACCAAGTGTCTCGTGTTTACCAAGGGCTGCCCTGGAAAGGATGCTCCAGATTCCTCTAATGAGGCTGTGTCCTTTTCTCCCAGCCCTCTCCATTGGATTTGCACAAAATGCTGCCTATCAATAATTAGCAAGTGGGAAAGGAAAGAAATCCACTAGAAGCCGAGCTCCAGGAACACTCCAGTGGCTGCAGCAGTGCCAGTTTTGGCCGCAGCCCTTCTCTTTCCCCTTGCAGAGCAGCAACAACAGGCTGCAAACAGGGGACAGAGTCTCAGCGTTATCATTTTCCAACCTCTTAAGCCAGATCCTTCTGCACATTTAAGGTCACCAGCAAATCCAGATGTTTTTACCTGAGGCTTCAAATTCTTAACCTTCGTTCCCTAAATAGGCTGCGAAACAAGTATCTTAACTAAATCTCTATTTTTGTTCCTTCAGTGGTGCAAACAAAGCAACAGAGGAAGTCATTGTACTTGAATACATATATATCATATTATATATGTATGTGTTGCTTCTTTTCCAGAAGGTTCCAAGCAAAGTTTACATGCAAGGTTTGAGTGGATTATATGTATTTAATGTGTAAATGTGGCCGAGTTAAAGATCTATTTAATTTTAGAGCTGTGGATGGCACTCGGTACGCCAGGATGGGCGCTGTCTGCACATCGGTATGCGTGGGTTTTTTGGTCTTTTAGCTGTTCCTGTTTTGTTTCTGGTTTACTTTCATTTCAGCAAGGTACTCTAGCTCCTGCTTTAACCCCCAAAGGATGTATTTGTTCAGAACAGAATTGCACAAGGGGACATCAAAGGCACAGAGCATTCCGGGCGGCAGCTGGGCACTTGTGCTGTGAACACGGTCCTTTTTGGACTGCTACCATCTCTGTTTAATGGTGCTTTACAGCAATATCTGCAGTATATCCAAAGGGAAAAACCACAAACCCCATTACTGTGAAGGTTTCCTGGTGGGTTTCTGTGAGGCTATACAATTACAACACGCCTTCTGCAACACTTTTCTTCTCGCTTTGTTTGTCGTCAACTGGTACAACGGGGAATTTTTGCCCATTGCTGCTGTCATTTACGCAGCACCAAATGAATGAAATAGCCCTTCTGTCCTAGAGGACCTCGTGTCCCTGGGTGCAGGAGGATTTTCCGGAGCGCTGACTTGTCTCCGGTTCAGGTCATACATTTGCAAGCACCTAATCCCAGGGCAAAGTCTCCCATGCATTTGCCAGGCAATGGCTAGAGGTTTAATGGGAAAGCGGATCAGACTTTGCTTTACCCCTGGGCTCCGGGGTCCTGGAAAGGAGCTCTGGAAAAAAGCAGTATGGAAACCTTGTGCAGCAAGGAATTCCCATGCCATGCTGGGAAGCTGGGACGTCTTTCTGGGGAGCCCCAAGCTCCTTTTGTTGACTGGTTACCACTGGCTAAGTGCAACACCCTGCTTTGTCCAAGGCAGCTTCTAAGGCAATTTTAGTCCTGTGTGCAGAGCGGCAGCTCTCCTTCCTGGCCGCGGCTGGGCTAAATTTGTCCCCCTTCCGAACGCTGCCCTTTGCCCACGAGTCCCGCTCGATTCTCACGCTTCCAGCACGTCCTTGTGCGCAGCTGCCGTGGTCCGTCCGGCTCCGGTTGCAGCTCTGCCTCCCGCTCCGTGCTCCCGTGTCCGTGCTCCAGTCACTGCCTGGTCTCCTCAGGGCTTCCAGCTGCCATCCCGAACGCAGCGTTTCGGCAGGAAAAGGGAATTACCAAACGGGCACCATCTGGGGCTTGGAATAGCAGGGAATGCTGCCGCGAGGTGCACGTGGCATCCGCGTATCCCACCCCGAGCCCTGTCATTCCCATGATCTCCCAGGGCTGCTGCCCGTCCTTGCTCCTCTGTCACCCTGTGGCAATTAAGGCTGTGACATTTTTGCAGTGGCAAGAATGAGCGCCGCAGACGAGGTGGGGACAGCGAGACCCGGGCCCCTTGCACACAGTATATCACGGAGGCCGTTTTGGAGGCTGCACCTGCCTGACTTTTTCACTTGCCTGGCAGGACAAGGTGTCAGATGCGGCTGCTGCGCGCGAGGAAGCGGCGCCGAGGGCCCCAGCTCCAGCACCGACCTGCTCGTGGGTCGGGGCACCGTGCCCCACCGTGCTGGGCATGTGCTGCAAAGGCCCTTTCTGCAGGGGAAGCTGTTGCAAAATGAGGGGCAGGTCCTGGCTCTTCCCACCGGAGCAAGATGACCTCGCCATGGAAAGAAAGGCGGAAGCATCAAAGGGCACGGAATAAGCCTGGTATTAAAATTGCAAGCAAGTCCAGGCTGGTTTCCTTGAAGGGCACTGGAGACACCGCTGCTTGGGTGAGCGCAGCAGACCCGCACAGAGCTGGACTGATAGCGGCAAGCTCTGTCAATATTTCCCTTTCCAACTGCTCCCAAAGGTCCTTCTGAAATGCCCTGGTGCCTTTGGCAGCTCCAGAGGTGAAGGAGGAGCCCCTGTGGATCGGGATAGCCGGGTGCCCGTTCCCACCACCCCTTGGTGCCCGGGATTTTGGCTCTCCCACGGTTGGGTCACGGCATCATCGGCTTCCTGCTTTCTGGCCCAAAGCCCTCCCGGTTCCAGGGAGATCCGCAGGCAAATTTTGCAAGTCCTGAGACACCAAGGCAGCCCAGAGCAGCTTTCCCGGTTGACTTTGCCCAGGATTAATTCAGGGACTTGTGAAATAATTGAAAAATTTGAACCAAGAAACATGTCAGCAGTGACTGTTCATGCTTCAAGCGTGACTTTGGGTGAGCAACCAGGCAGGAAGGGAGAGGAGCTGGCAGTGCCAGAGCCCCCTCTGACCTCCTCTTTTTGCTCAATTCCGGGTTATTTAGAGCCCCCCAGCAAAGTCCTGCATCCTGAAACTGCCTGATTCCTCCAGCTTCCCCATTTCCCACCCGCCTTGCCCAGGCTCCGGTATTCCCACTTGCCACGGGAACGCAGGGAGCTCTTACTGGATTATGGCTGGAAAAAACGCTGGAATGGAGCACGTGGGAGCGTTTCAGCCGCTGTTGTGCCTTGTTCAACAAGGGGCTGAGGGCTGCTCGGCAAATCTTTCAGGGCCACTGTCTGCAGCGCAAGCTACGTGGACACAGAAATGTGCACAGAAGTGTTAAATGAGATACAGAATATTTATTAGAAGCTACCAAGAGATTTTATCGGTTCCTCCCCCTAAAAAGCCCCTCATGCTGGATATATGGATACTATAGGCCATGTAGAGGCTTGCCATGCCTTCCTCTTCCTCTTTACTGCTGCGTATCTCACTGTGCAATTGTACAGGGTGCTCCCTTATCTGCAATAATACCTGGCCATAAATACAACCCGCACACATTAAAGTTGCATTGCCCTCTGCATTATAAGGAATTGCGCTTTGCATTATAAGGAATTGCCCTCTGCATTATAAGGAAAGAGCTAAACTTCTCCTCTCGTTCCATACGGCAAACCCCTTGTTGCTGCAGACTGTCCCCATAAAGCTCCCAGGCAGATCCACGCAGGCATTTGGGGCACATCTCCCTCCAGGTACCTTTATGGATCCAGGTCCTGATCGGATCTCACGTTTGTGCTGTTATCCGGCCTGGGAGTGAGGAGAAGCCCCCCCTCATGATGCCCTTGAGTGAGGAGGATGGCCTGGAGATGGGGATGAAGCTGAACCGCTTCCTTCTCATGCTTCCTCACCCTGGGGTCTCCCTCCTTCCCTTCCCGTTGGGGTTACACCTCAGACAAGCCCTTCTTCATCCTACCTCAGCTCCCAGGGGGAGTTTTTTGTCCCTCGCATGCGAGGCCGCAGAGGAACCGGGTGCTGCACCTGGACCCTTCACCTGGTGAGCGTCCGACCAAGCGCGTGAGCTCCCGTTGCCTCCTTCCCAACGTGCTCTGTCCTGGTCACAGCTCCTTCCCGAGCAATTCCCTGTGTTCTGCCAAGGGACTTGTCCTCCGCTTCCCTTTGGATGCTTCCCCCTTCCCAGCCCGGCTAGCAGGGTTCACGCGCCGAGTCTAGCTCCAGCTTTCCCAAATCTTTCTCTTTGTCCTCGCGGATCCTCCAACTCATTCTTGGGAAATAAAGCACTCTCCCTGCTTCCTTTTGCTCTCCCCTCTTCCACTCCCTAAATCCTCCTTCGGCACCAGGTGATTTCCAGCCAGGAGGATGGACAAGCAGCGCCTAGGAGACAGCACAAGTATTGGAGAAGTCCACAGAGGAAGAACAGAACCGGTCCACACTGGGCTCCTGTTCTGTCCAGGTATAAACTGCCTACCAAACTGTAAATTAATGTCCCTGGAAGGATCCTGCTTCCCGTAACATCCCGTCCCTTTTAGAAAGGGCTCCGGAGAAGACTTGAGCTTGGGATCCGGTCTTCTAGCACTGTCCAAGGGTAAGGCCCGGGTGCCTCTCCGCCTTCCTCGCCTGTCCTTGGGATCATCCCATCGCGTGGCGTGACTAGGTCTGGGGGTGCCCTTCTCTGAGCTGCCTCCTGAAGTAGCGGATGGCAGAGAGCGTGCCGAAAGACGCCAGGAACACTGGAAAAGAGCCCGACATTCCCAGAGTGAGCCCGGGAGCCTCCTGTGCAGGTGGCATCTGCAGATCCTGGCACTGCCAGGAAGGAGCCCTCTTGGAGGGGGAAAAGCATCTGCGGTGGGACGGCAGCCCTGAGATACCCAAGGCAGAGACCTCCTTACCTTGGGGTGTGCAGGGATCTGGTGTCCTGCTGGAAAAAGTTCTTGTTCCCAGCAGATTCCCATCCCGCCTGGACACTTTTAGACTGCGATCAGCTGCAGTGTCACCCAAGGGATGGACATGGGAAAAGGAGGGTGCATTTGCCATAGGAAACAGCTACAGCTGCCTGGCAGGGTGGTGGTCGGGGGGAGACGTGCCTATGGAACCCCGGGAAAGCCCACCACGACCTGCTTGCAGGAGATTCCTCTCATTTCCCGCTTCTCTTTGGAGCAGGAAGATGCCAGGAGAGGTATCGTTCTGTGGGTTATCTGCAGGTATTCTGAGCCCATGGAAAAGTGAAAAAAAAATGCCCCAGAAGAGCACCAGAAAGGCAGAAATCCCCAAAAAATCCTTATGAAGAACAAGTCCCAGAGGAGCAAAGACTCCTCTGAAGCTCCGGGTAAAGCTTTTGGCTTGGTTTATAAGAGAGGCCGAATTGCCCTGATCTGTGCCCAGCCAAAACTGTGAACCTATTTAAATTAAAATCATAAATTTGGATTTACGTGTTAGCGTCTGAGACAAAAAAAGCAAGGAAATGCGATTTGTTAGAAGCTAAAATGACAAGAGGAACTGCTAGTTGAGGACAGGGCTTGCAGGAAACCGTCTCCCCTTGCACCATCCTCCCCATGGTGTTGCATTTATGCAATCACGAGGCCCAAATCCCGCTTTTCTCACCCTCCCGGTGGCCCTGTCCACAATCTGATACTAAGAAGGCGAGGAAGACGAGGCCAAAAGCTTCTTGTGATCATTGCACCGAAGCACTTTAGCTAACGAGCTATTCTCAGCGCCCGGGTCGTCAGCTTGGTGCGTGACCTTAGCAGGGAACATTCCTCCCTTGGAAAATCCACGGAAAGCTCTGGCCTGGAGCATGCACCTCCACAGCGAGGGCTTCTGCATTGGGCCCTGCTACAGGGCAAAGTGCTGCTGCAGGGGCTCTGTTTATGCCATGGCCCGGTGTCATTTTGAGCCAAAGTTCACCCAATTCGGGCTGCCTGGGTTTCCCCTCCACTTTATTCCAATGCCTAGGGTTGAGAGGAGAGGATCTGACGGAGCTCAGTTTGCTTAAAGGACTCAGTGCACCAGGATAACACTTCAGCTAAGCTGCACTTAGAAAAGAAAATAAATAAAGATTATACCTTTATAGCTCATTATAAAAGTACTTGTTTGCTCCAGCTGGGATGAAGCAACTTGAGGTCCTGCTTCAGCTGCTGGCTGAAGAAACATCTGTTGACCTGACACACTGGTACGGGTGACTACCAGAGGCTAGATGGAGCCCTAGGAATATAGGATTATATATAGGGAATATAGGAATTGTCCTATACTGCTCCTACCCTATGGCTGAGGTTAGGGTGAGCAGATGCTTTGGGAGGAAGGGGATGATGTGAGTGAGTAGCAAGCAGGACCGGCATGTCCACGGGAGAGAGAAGGCATCAGGAAGGAGCAGGACACTCCAGAAAAGCAGGGCAGTGGCAGCTGAGGGGTGTCCGTGTCCCAGTATCCCTGCCTGCTTCCACAAGCGCCCTCTCCCAGCCGTACGTACCCGTCTTCCACGCGTCCGGAGCCTGCAGGTCGGAGGTCCTCACGGCCCAGGAGGCGAAGGCGCAGAACACCAGGCACATGTCCTTGTGGGTGAGCACGAGCGGAGCCGCGGGCCTCCCTGCGGGACGAGCAGCAGGGCTCAGGGCTGCCGGGGTCCCTCTCTGCACCCGCGCGGGGGTTTTCGCTCATCCCGGCCTCAATCCTTGCTAACGAGCCCGAAACTGTTGTCTTCTCCTGCAGGGCTGCCCCAGCACCTCCCCGGGGCTTCCTCCCGGAGCATCCCTGGGAGATGGTCCAGCGGCTGCAGCAGCGGCACGCGGGAGACTGGCAGGGATGCTCTGCACGGTGACCCCCTATAGGGGTATTCCATAGGTATATCCCCTATTTCAGGTATATCCCATATATCCAGGTGACGAGTGTCACCGTCCTGCGTCCCCAGGCCACTCCTGCACCCTGCCAGCACCACGGTGGGAGCCACCACTGCTTTTCTTTAGAGCCCGACGTGTTAGACCTCCGACCTAGCGCAACCTCATGTCATGCTGCAGAGGGAATTTATTGCTGTTCCTGAGCTCGTTTGCTTGTGCTTTTCGTTAAAGCCACTTGTTAATCAGCTAGGACCGTTGCAAGAGGGTTTTTCTCCGTGCAAGCAGAGCGGAAGCTCCGTTGTGAGTCACCCCTGGGATGACTCATTCCTTGCTTGCTTTTAACATTAACTGTGCGGCACCGTATCGTGTGGAGATAAGCTGCTGGCTGGGCCGGACGTGCTCTTCCTTTACTCCTATAGCCCCTATTCCAATTTTCCCTAGGGAAAGCGAAGCGGGTTAAGCGGAGCACGTAGGCATGTGGGATGCAGGGACACGGGAATGGAGCGCCGCGATGCCCCGTGCTGCGGCTCTCATCCCAGTCCCGCTTCCAGAGCCCCCTGCTCCATCCCGGGCGGCGCTCCGGAGGTTTCCCAGGGGAAAGGGAGTCGTTGGGAAGCGAGGAGTGCCGCTTACCTGTGAGTGCAAGGGTCATGTCTGGAGCGCCTGGCTGAGCGCGGCCGCATCCCGGCGGGGCCAGCGGGATGAGGGGGAGCTTCCCAACGGATCCCGTCCCTGCCGCAGCACGGGGAGCCGAGGCCTGGCCTCCGAGGAGATGCACCGGCCTCCGCAGCAGCCGCTTCAGAGCACGCACCGCTCTGCTCACCTCCGAGGCCGGCGTGCGCGGGAAAAGCCCTCTCCAGCCGTCCCCATTCCCGGGCCCATCGGCAAAGAAGTGTTCATAGACCTCAGGGACGGAGATAACCAGGGTCTCCTCGGCGGCAGCCGAGCCGGGGTCCTCCCTTTGCAGCCCGTCCGAGCCGCCGCGCTTCTCCCGCCTCCTGTCTTTGCCCTGGACTTTTTTCCTCTTTCCTTCGGGCTCGTTGAAAAAATGCTCATAGAGTTCAGGCAGAGATATTGCCCTGTGCGCGGGAACCTCTTCCTCCTCCTCCTCCTCCTCCGCGGGGCTCTGCGCGGCTTCTTCTTCCCCCTGGGAGTCGCAGAACAAGTAGTCGTACATCTCGGGCCACGTCACCTCGCGGGTGTTGGGCCCCGCGGAGCCCGGCGGTGTCACGGCCGCCTTTGCTGGTGCCAGGGCATTGCCGGCGAGCACTGCCGTGGCGCCGGCATCGGGGAGCTTCCCAGGCGCATCCCGGCACGCGGCCACCGGCGCCGCCGTGTCAGCAAGAGCTGCCGGTGACGTGTGATGTCCACCTGAGCGCCCGGGCACCTCAGGGCACTCGGCCGCCTCGTCCTTGGCTGCCTTGTCCTGGGCTGCCTTGTCCTGGACTGCCTTGTCCTTGGCCACCTTGTCCTTGGCCACCTTCTCCTTGGCCACATTGTCCTTGACTGCCTTGTCCTGGGCCACTTTGTCCTTGTCCGCCTTGTCCTTGGCCACATCATTGTTGGCCACCTCGTCCTTGGTCACCTTGTCTTTAGCCGCCTTGTCCTTGGCCACATCATCCTTGGCTACCTCATCCTTGGCCACCTCATCCTTGGTCACCTTGTCTTTGACCACCTTGTCCTTGGCCACCTCATCCTTGGCCACATCATCCTTGGCCACCTCATCCTTGGTCACCTTGTCTTTGGCCACATCATCCTTGGCCACCTTGTCCTTGGCCACCTCGTCCTTGGGTGCCTTGTCCCGGGTCTCCGTCTCCCTCAGCCCTGGGCCAGCGCTGGCAGCCTCGGCCACCCCGGGGCCGAGCGCCGTCCTCCTCGCTGCCTCCTTCCCCGGGGCCACCTCGGCCGCCTTCTCCTTGGCCGTGCCGCTCAGTGTTGAGGACGGCGGTGCCAAAGGGCCTGGGCCACCCACGGGTGCCCTGGGCTCACGGGCGGCACCCGCCCCGCGCGCCTTGCGGCTCTTCCTGGCCTGCGCCGGCGTCTTGGGCCTCACCGCCGGCGTGGAGGCTCCCGGCGTGGAGGCTCCGCGCGCGCTCGGGGCAGGGCCCGGGGGTGCTGGCTCCACACGGGAAGTGCCGCTGCCGGGCGGCTGCTCCCGGCACTCCGGGGCCCGGCCGCTTCCTCCCGCCGGCACCGCGGGCTCCGTGGCCCGGCCTCCACGCGCGGCTCCCTCCTGGCAGCCCTCGGCGCCGTCCTCGGTGCCGTCCCCTTGCTCCATGTCCGTGAGCGCGGGCTCCTCCTCGGCCAGCGCGCCCAGCGCCAAGCCGCACTCGGCAGCCGCCACGGCGAAGGCGGCCCAGTCCCGGTCGCTCAGCTCGATGCTGTACTCGAAATTCTCCATGGCTGCAGGGGCAGAGCAAGGCGAAGGGCTGCGTGAGGGCGCCGCGTGTCCCCCGTGCCCCCCGTGCCCGCCCTTGGATCTTCCTGACACCGGGCGCTGCGGGAGGGACCTGGCTGAGCCCGGAGCGTCCCGGCCAGGGACCCCTGCAGCGGGGACCCTGGGACACGTGGGGCCGGCAAGCGAAGCTGCCCCACGCACCGGGTCCTGCACAGGGACCGTCCCCGGGAGGATCACCCTGTGCAACGGGAGCGTCTCCACGCTCCTGCGCTGGGCTCCGTGCAGGCGGGCAGCGCGCGGCGCAGCCCGAGCAGGAGATTTCACCAAGTGGCTGCAGCCTCTTGTAGCCTTTGAGGAGGGGGAGGCCGCAGGGCAGCAAGGGGGGCCGCGCGGGAGCAGCAGAGGGGCCGCGCGCTGCGCCCTACCTGTGCCACGCTCCCGGGATGGCAGCGGTGCCGTCCCGAGGGGCGCCCGGCCGCGTCCTCCAGCATGATGCCGTCCCCTTGCCGGGCCCGGGGCGCCCGCCGCAGCCCCGCTCCATTCACCGGCTAAAATTAGATCCCCCGCGTGTCACCTGAGAGCCGAGCGGGACGGGGCGGCGAGGGCCGGCCCATATATAGAGCCTGGCGGGGAAGGTGCCAGGAACGCCTCCCAAGTGCCGCGGCCCCCGCGGATGCCCAACGCTTCCTGCCTTGTCCCGAGGGATGGAAAGCAGGAAGGGGGCCGGGGGCTCACGGCTCCTGGAGGAGGGTGAGGGCAGCTCCCCGTGTGCGCGGCAGGGCCGGACGCGATGAGGTGGGAGCAGAGCTGTCCGCACGCAGCGCCCACAGTGCTGTGTTCCCTTGCATCCCGGCATCCCGGCGAGCGTCACGGCTTCCTGACACAGCAGTGCCCACGCGGTGCCCGGGAGCAGCGCGCAGGGAAGCGCCTTGCCGGCGGGGTCAGCCAGCAGGGCCACAAATAGCCCCGGGCTCCGCGAGCCCTCCCCGTCCTCGGTGCCGCAAATAGCTGCCCTGGAATAGCCGCCTCGCAGCCCGAGCTGCATCCCGGCGCCGGGCGCGTCCGCAGGGTCCCCATCGCTGTGTTTGGGCGGTGGGAACGGCCGGCGTGGCCGCTGCAGAGCCGGGACGGGCCCGAGGGGCGCAGGGCGCATTCCCTGCGCCGCGGTGCGCGGGTGGGAAGCTCCCCGGCGTGGCTGCCGCACGCACTGCAGCGCGCAGCCCCGGCCTCGCCTCCCCCTGCATCCTGGCGCGCGGCCGGGAGCTTTCCCAGCCGGAGCAGAGCGGCCCGCTGCCTCCCCACCCTATCTCCTCCCTCATCTGGCCCCGCACGCGCTCGCAGCGGAAGCCGGCTGCCTTCCTGCCCTCGCCCGCCGCTGGCTTCCTTCCCTCGGAGCCGCAGGAAGCGCCGGCCGCCCGCAGCGGGGACATGAAAGCGGCGGGACGGGAAGGCCGCGGGCGGCCGCCCAGCCGCCGGGGTGACGGGCACGCGCTGCAGCCGCGGGAACCGCCGTGCGCAGCTGCAGCGGCGTTTGTGCAGCTGCCGCAGCGCAGCCCACGCAGCGGCCGCCGGGAATCGGGCAGCTGCCAGCGCTGCTCCGGCTCCCGCAATAGCTTGGAGCCCATGGATGAGGATGAGGAGGGCTGCGGGGGGGGCAAAGGATGTGCACGGGTGCAAAGGATGTGCACGGGTGCAAAGGACGTGCACGGGGTGCAAAGGAAGTGCACAGGTGCAAGGGATGTACATGGGTGCAAAGGACGTGCACGAGGTGCAAAGGACATGCATGGGGTGCAAAGGACATGCGTGGGGTGCAAAGGACATGCACAGGTGCAAAGGGTGTTCACGGGGTGCAAAGGACGTGCACGGGCTGCACTCGTGTCCTGCAACCTCCCACATGTGGAGTGGCACCCCATGCTGCTCCAGAGGCTCCGGTGCTGGGATGCAGCCAGGCGGCTCCGGCGCCCCTGGACCACGTGCCCGGCGGCACCGGCATCGCCACCGCCCGCCTGTCTTGCTGGCAGTGCCGCTTTGGTATTAAGGGCACTCTATAAATAACAAATGCCGATGTGTAATTAGAGATGGGACAGAAATAAAGCGGCAGATGAGGCCCCCTCGGCCTGAGGACATGGCACGTGGTATGGGCCAAAGAGCCGGGAACACAGGGACAACGCAGGGAGCAGGGAGAGAAGCCCGGCAGCGCCTGCGGGAGCTCTTCCTTCGGCAGAGAAACCCCTCCCGTGGCCTCTGGCTCCATGTTCCTCATTCCCAGGATAAGAGACTTCCAGCAGACCTGCAGGGTGGGGATGAGGAGAGGCCGTCAGGGCTATAGAGTGTGAGATAAGCAACTTCCTACCCAGGAAACTGCACGTGGGAAAAGCTAATCTTCACAGAGCACGTAAAATCCGCACCACAAAGCCAGGACTATTGTGGTCTGGGCTAGGCTTGTTGCAGAGGCAACACAGCTGAGAGACGAGGGGCTGATTGCAAACGCGCTTGCCCTGCCTTAATACTGGCCCATCATGTGTTGGCTCTTAAGGGAAGAAGAGTGTTGAGTTTGCAAGAAGATGGATGGGGAAAGAAAAAAGAAAGCAGTGCAGTGTAAAGAAAAACCTGTTCACAACACCCAGAGCAGGATTTCGTTATTGCTTCCCGCCGCCTGGGACTGATTGTGCCCTTTTCCTCCTGCCTTCTTCCAGCTCAGCTTGAGCAGCATCTGTCACGGACACAGCATGGTCTTATCTGCCCCTCTCCAGCTGATCCCTGGCGCCTCTGCAGCCTTCCAGGCTGGAAATCTCGGGCTGGAGCCTAGTGGTTCCAGCAACTCCATGCTGAGGAAGGGGTTAAGTCTGCACCGAAACTCGGAGCGTGCTCAAGTTGCAACCACCAGTCTGGTTTTGCTGGTTTGGGGACAGGCAGCGGCTCGGCCTTGTCACCCCCAAACCATAAGGAGCCTGCGCTGGTTTTGCCTAAACTTATTGCTGCCCTTTTTCCCGCTCCCACCCAGAGCCTCCGTCCCCAGACTCCCTTAAAATTCAGGCCGACGCTTCCTGCGGAGCCGCCGTGGGCTCAACCAAAGGTCAGCCTTGAATCCCAGCCCACGTTTGCCTGAAGCGCCGCCAAGCTCTCCCCAGAGCCGCGATTCCTGGCGCGCGTTCCGGGTCGCTCGTCCAAGTCTCGCTGCGTTTCGGGTTCCCGTGCAAGCTCCGGCCCCGCTCCGCACAAGGAGAGCCCCAGGGCGCATCTCCCCTGACCGCTGCACTTTTCCTGCACGCCAAGGAAGAGAAAGCAGGATGCACTGCAACCTCAGGAGCAATATCCATGAATCCCAGTGCTGGCGTGGAGATTAGCAGTGCAAATTTACCCCAGGGCACTGTTTTAGGCTGAATTTTAGCATCGCAACAGAGCTCGGTGCACGGCCTGCTGTGACTGCCCTGTTTCTGATGCCGTTACTCGTAGCCTTCCAAAGGCTCCTGGAAAAGAAAGTGCAGGGCTCCCAGGGATGGGGGTTTCGGCGCTGGATCCCGCAGGATTGGTGCTTTGCCTGTGCAACTCATTTTTCCTGCCATTTCCACTAGGTGTCACTTCCAGCCAGAAAGTTAACCGTTTCCGAAGGGTTTTCACCCGCGCCGGATGCACGAGTTTCAAGGGGGGCTCAGGTGCCCCAGTGCGGGGAGGTCAGCGCTGGACGGGAAGGCAGAGCTGGCCAGGGCGCTGATCCCAGCCCTGCGGGACGGGATGCGGGAAGCAAGACCCGCGTTTCCCTTGCGGAGCGATGCCCTCCCGTTCCGGCTGCGGGCCGGGAAAGGGCCCCGGCAGCGGGAAGCGCGGCCGCAGCTCCGTTTTCTGTCAAGGCCTCTGATTAATCACGCTCCAAGTTGAAAGGGCCTTCCTCCCACCCCAGCCTGGAGCTGTTCCACATCCGCAGGGCTCCGCCAGGCCTTAGGATCCCAATTCCTCCCTTATCCCCCGCTCAATCCCATTCCCATGTGGACGGGGCATGGCGGTAAAATGAGGATCCCTGAACGCCTGTGTCTCCGCAGCGGGAAACGCTTCCAACGGGGATGATATCGCCCCAAGGTCGGGGCGCTCGCGGTGCCCACGTGCAGCCCATTGCCCCGTGCAGAGCCCCGAGCCCTGGGAAACCGAACGCCCGTGTCAGACAAGCGAGAGCTCCTGCACGCCGCGTGCAGGACCCGAGCACATCATTCTGCTCCGAGCACGAAATTCACCTGCTTTTGGAACCCGCTGCCTTTGGTCGCCCCCGTCCTCCCAACAGGTGCTTCCCAGGGAGTCCATTTGTTCCTGCATTTTGCAAACAAAGCCCACAGATAATCCTGGCTGGGAGAAAAACAACTGCAGGGCCTCAGGTTGAGGATTATTAGAGAGGCTTCGGAGGCAAAATTAGGGTTAGAGCTGGGCGAGTACCACAGGAGCAGCCCTTGATTATCCGTGGAAGTGCCTAAGGCTTCCGTGTGCGCCGGGATTATCCCTGCAGCTGCACAGAGGAGCAAATCCTCGCCCGAGGAAGGAAGAAGCCCTATGGGCATCGCAGCAGCACCTACAGCACCTGCCTGCTCGTATAGGGCCTTGTGCTGCCATCCCCATCCCAGAAAACCCCTGGAATGCGAAGCGGTGGCGATGCAGAGGCTGGGGCTGGGTGCTGTGTCCCTGTGACCGGGGCTGTCCTGGTTTCAGGAGCGGAATGAGGAGCTGGTTTCCAGCCCCAGGCGATGCTCAGTGCACTCGTCTGCAAAGGCTAGACCTGCAGCATCCCTCACCAACCCTGCTCTCCGCTGCTCCCAGCCTCCGGAATAGCACCTCCGTGCTCCTCCAGGCAGGGAATGGAAGCAGCTGGATCCGATTCCTGCCATCCCACCACAAAACATTGGTGCTGATTGGAGAAAGGGAGTTATTTGGGCTCCATCTAGCCCAGTGCTACGGGCTAGAATGGATGGGATGGTGATGGCACCTCCTTGAATATGGAATAAACCCATTTGTGCCCC